GATGCCCTTGGACGTGAACGTGGTGGCGCTGCTGATGAACCGCACCGACCCCAAGAGCCTCATCACTCACGTGTGCGACCTCATGTCCGGGGCGCGCATCCACGGCCTGGTTTTCGGGGACGACACCGACCAGGAGGCCGTGGCCCAGATGTTGGATTTCATCTCCTCGCAGACTCTCGTCCCCATCCTGGGCATCCACGGGGGCGCCTCCATGATCATGGCAGACAAGGTAAGGCGCCGAGGCGCAGAGATGCCAGGCCCCGTGGGCCACAAGATGGCAGCCACCGCCGTCCTTTGGCACAGCTACTGCCTGGCTAAGATTTGAATGGGGGCCTCATGGTCACTAGGCTTGGTGGCAATCAGGTCCTGCCTCTCCAGCCTGGAAAGGAATGGAAACCCTTTGGTCCTCTTCCCAGAGTGAGCAGGTTTGCTAAGACCATCGGCACCAGCCACAAGCATGGGCCAGTTGAAACCATAAGGACTTGTCTTTCTCTAGTGTCCATTTTCCTTGATTGTTTTGAGGGAAAATGTCCGGTTTTCCCTCTCTTGGTAAGCCTCGGAGGCGATTGAAAACGTGCAGTTAAGTTGTGGGATGCCAAGAATATCAGGTTTGTAAGGAAAACATAAACGGGCAGAGAAATGCCTTGTGTCTGGTACCCCAGACTGGAGGGGAAAGTTCAGAAGCCCAGGCAGGAGGCTAGCTAGAGTGACCCTTCTCCTCTGAAGCATTGGGGGCTGAGGGTGGTGGGCGGCGGTGGGTCCTCACTCCCTGTGAGTGCCAGGCACTTTGCCTAACATGCTCTGGGTGGGACTGACATTGCACCTCAGGGCGCTAAGGATTGGGAAATGGGCTCCCAGGGCAGGGTTTGGGATTAAGGAAAGGTGCATCCAGCCCTCCAGGCTTCGAGTGAGAGGGCCCCACCAGGCACCTCGATCTGGAGAAGAGGGGAGAGATGGTATGAGGACTCGGGTTGATGGAAGAAGGTTTGCAAGGGAAAAGCAAAATGAGGCTTGAGAACAAGTGGAGACTGAAAGGTGTGGCTTGCATCTTGCCTCTCAGTAACCCCAGGAGAGAACGGTGCCGGTCAGGGGAGCAGGGTGGTGGCGGCTTGTGTGCCCAGGTCTGGGCCTGGAGACCCTTCTTGGAGAGTGTTCCTTAGACAGCATGAGATCCCCTAATGGAGCGAGCAGGCATTTGTTAGAGCACTTTGCTTCTGCCGCTCGGAAAGTCTTTTTCTATTCATCAAATCAGATTCTACCTCTGCCTCAGCAATTCCCACTGGCTCCTTTGGGACTTGTATTAATTCTTGTAGGTCTCTGGGGCTGCAGCACACTCCGCCGAAGTATACGGCTGATGCAGAAGCTTATTAAACATTCATTTCCAGTGGTTCTCAGCCCAGCATTCATTGCCAGTTGGGGCAGGAGGCACCTCTGGAGCTGAGAAAGTTCTGCCTGCCACCACCTTATGGGACAGGACCTTAGTGTCCACTGGACAGCTCTGTTACTTTCAGGCGAGGTGACTGGGCACAGGGCAGAGCCTTGGCCCAGACCACCCTGTGTGGGAAGGGACAAGGTCTCAGGTTACCTGCCCCCATGCCGTGAGCTTGTTGTTGCTGGGTGCTGTTGAGTCCATGCTGATTTACAGCGAGAGCCTATGTGACAAAGCCGAACTGCCCTGTCAGCTTTGGTTAGCTGCCCTCTTTATGGAAAGGAGCCCTGACGGTGTGGTGGTTAAGGGCTCAGCTGTTCGCAGAAAGGCTGGCGATTGGAACCCCCCAGGCGCTCCATGGGAGGAGGGCATGGCAGGCTGCCCGCCTTGGGTGCCTTCCTTCAGGGCCGCTGTGGGTCAGAATGAACTTCATGGCATCAGGTTTCAAAAAAATATCCTTACGGAAGCAGATCACCAGGTCTTTGCACCTCGGAGTGGCTGGCAGGATTTGAACTGCCAGCCTTTCAGTTCGTAGCCAAGCACTTAACCCTTGCACCCCCCGGGCCAGGGCTGCTTGCAGTGATCTCACCTAGTAAGCCCCACCCTGTGGCTTCATCATTCGTTCATCTTGAGGGGGGATAGGGCTGAGTGGCATCTTCCGGGAGACCTGAGCTCAACCATCTGCAGGGCAGGTACAGAGAGGGCAGAGCTGCCAGTTCAGCTGGGCTTGGGAGTGACATTTGAGAATCTAAATGCTGCTGTTGATCCCACCCCTCTTGTGAGGTTCTGACTGAGGCAGCAACACCCAAATGCACTTTGTGTTTTCTGGTTGCGCCGTCGCGTTGCTTCTGACCCCGTGACGGCACGTGTGCCACAGCTGGGTTCCACATCTGCTCCAGCAGGTCACCAGACCATTCTTCCGAGGCACCTCCACATAGACTCAAACCTCAACTGTTTCAGTTAGCTGTCGAGCTTGTTAGCATTTACACCACACAGGAGCTTAAAAAAAAAAAAGGAGTGCTAGTAGTAGTTATTGTTGTTAGTTGCCGTTGAGCTGATATTTAACTCCTAGCAATTCCTGGTGACGGAGTAGAACTGCCCCCATGGGGTGTCCTTGGCTTTGACAGAGGCACACCCCCAGGTCTTGCTCCCTCGGCTCTCGGGGTGGTTCCGTAGCACCCACCTTCTCGTGAGCAGCTGAACATGTTAACAGTTGGCATCACTCAGAGACTGCATTAAAAAAAAAAAAAAAAGGCAGCAGAATTGGAAGTGTGATGTCTGGTTGGGTGAGGGCTCAGCGTTGCCAATGGGGCCAAGCTGGCTCGGACGAGGTGGGCAGTCTGAGCAACCTTCGCATCCTCTGCCTCAGCCGGGAGGTCTGTGGTGGGCAGAGAGGCTGGAACAGAGGGGTGGACTCAGATGAGCATCGCTGTATTTGTAGTATCCCTGACCCCCAGGTCAGGCTTTGCCCAGCCAGACTAGTGGCCTCTCTGTCCAGGAAGGGGAGATTAGCAGAGCACTTGGAGAGAGTCAGAGAGCAGTGTTGGAAGCGTGCTTCTCTCCTCTGGGTGTATCTGCTGTTTGATGGGCTTGCTGGGGGGGGGGGGGGAGTGATTCTGAAATGCTTGAGAAAAGACTGTTTCAGAGAAGTCACGAGTAGACAAAGGTCTCCCAGAGGGGATGGAAAGGACAGGGATAACAGGGCCCACTGGCTCAGCCTCTAACAATCCCTCACTACCATTGAGTGGATTCCAACACATAGCAGCGCTGTAGGACAGAGTAGAACTGTGCCTGTGGGTTTCTGACACTGTGACACTCTCTGGGAGGAGAGAGCCTCACCATTCACCAGGAGAACGCCTGGTGGCTTTGAACCGTCGACCTGTCTGTTAGCAACCCAAACCAAACCCACAGTGCCATTGGGCTCTTCCTCACACTCCTGCGGACACACAAATGCACCCCATAGGCAAATGTAGACACACACTCACAAAAGGGAGGGTAGAACGGCCCCCTGTGGGTTTCCAAGGCTGTAAATCTTTATAGGAGCAGCTGGTGGTTGAGAACGACTGACCTTGTGGTTAGCAGCCATCGTGTAACCACTACACCACCACGGCTTCTGTTGGTTCAAAGTGGCTACTTCCATTTTTTCCAGTGATAACTGCCTACTTCCTGTTATTGTTGGGGTTGCCAGGGGGAGTCGTGAGATGGGTCTCTTTGATGGAATTGTAGGGAGCGAAGGAGCCCTAGTGAGCCCTGCTAACTGAAGGTTTGAAAGTTTATCCAGTGGCTGAAAGACCTGCTTTCTCTAAAGACTGCAGCCTAGAGAATCCCACGAGGCAGTTCTGCGTTAGCTCCTGGGAGAGCTCACAGACAATTGGATGGCGCTGAACAACAACAAGGCAAGGTACCAGCTTTTGAGATGCTGTTCCTCGGGGGTGGGCGATGAGCTGGGCTAAGGCAGGGTTTCCCAAAGGGGACATACGCCCCCTGGAGAGGGCGCTGGACCGATGGAGGGGAGGACGGAGTTGCAGAAGCAGACACCTACACGTTCTCCTGGGTTATGGGCTTTTCATCGCCAGGAGGGCGCTGAGTCACTGCACCTTCTTTTTCTGTTTCCGGAAAGGTTGACCAAATAAGTTTGGGAAGCTCTGGGTATCCTGAGGAAGCTGGGTGTGCCCTAGGAGGAGTCAGTCTGTGAGGTGTGAGCGCCCCTCTTGGCCAGTAGGGACACATCGAGTTGGCTTTGTGCCTTTGTCGCTTGGTTCCTCCAGAGTGGCTGGTGTGTGCGGTGGTTTGGCTCTGAAGAAGCAGTGATGGGCCCTTGTCTACATTAGCTCATATCTTGGAAGAACCCAAGGTGGAACTTGCACGACCCCAAACTGACACTCCTTTCTCCCCGAGAGGATGTTGACCAAGGCAGCCCTGCGCACACTTGTGCTGCTTTTCCGTCGAGATTGGTGATAGGGCAGTGGCCTCATGGATAATTTGTTGATGTCAATTGCTGTCCAGTCATTTCGGCTGCTAACACCCCCATGTGACAGCCTTGGGGTTTCCCTCCCTGCTATCCTTACAGGATGGTCTCTGCAGGTCTTGCTCTCACGGAGCCATGGGGTGGGGGGTTCCCAACCATCCTTTTCTCAGTTAACAGCAGAATGCTTCCACAAGGGCTCCCGAGATGGAAGATGGAGCAGAATGGTCTTCATGTGATCAGTTCACACACACACACACACACACACACACACACACACACACACACACACTTTTACCTTTCCCTCTGCCTACTTGACACTTCAGAAAAAGAACAAAGCCTTCCTACTTGAAATGATGTTAAGTGGCAGAGTTTTAGGGTGTTAATTTAATTGACCATGGAGATGTTCTATTTCCGCCACCCCCCCTCCTCCGTACCAGTGGGTGGTCCAGCATGTATAATTAAGAAGCGGAAGTAGTGCTTGGCATGGATCATCTCATTTTCATCGTCGTACTGTTTTGACCCGTCCACGGGAAGCACAAGGGAGTTGCTGTACAGTTGTGAGGCCACCATACTTCTGCTAAGCGTCTCCCCACTCTGCTCTACTCCTGGCCATTCCTCTGCTCCGGGAGAGCAAGGGCAAGGTGCCACATTTTAGTGACATCCTTCCATGACCATTACAATATGTGTTTTGCTTTAAGTTATTTCTATACAAAGTTCACCTCCTCTGCTGTTGGATACGGGACAGAGTAGAACTGTCCCCATAGAATTTTCTAGACTATATTCTTTACCACAGTGGACCACCAGGTCTCCCTGCTCCCCAGGGTGGGTGGGA